CAGGCTCTATTATATAGAGCCTGCGACTTTTAGTGATATTTTTTCAATACGCCCCCTTTGAGATAATTGAATATCCGGTAAATAATAGCCAATCAAAGCAAGTTTTGTTAATTAGATTACCAGAGGTTATTAACAACAGCAAACAGTTTCTCGCGCAATTTTACGCCTGTATCTTTCACTAGGATTACAAGGTCTAAACTTTAATCTAAAATAATTCATGGTCGTTTTTTCCCTAAAGTGTTCTAATATTTAAAACATAGTCCCGTTTGTATATTGCTGTCTTGTTCGTACATTGCCGTTTTAAATTATGTAACTATACTACAGAGACGTAAATTTTACTCTCTATTAGTTAATGTATTTTATATATTTATATCCAAAATATAACTGTAAGATTTAAGGAAACGTATTTAGGTTTTGAACAAAGTAACAAACACTATTTATTAAAAGTGTCGAACAATAGCAGGCTAAAAAACAACATTAATCATTATTGCGTGAAGTCTGTCATTTGCTCAACTGATAATACAATTAACTCAATAGACAATAGACAATTTGAAAACCCGTGGCCGTGGCATCGATTCTGCCGTGTTTAAATAACTACATTTTTTTGTAAAAAGCTCTTGTTATAATAATATATGTCACTAGTTGAGACTCCCAAAAATAAAGTCTCAAAGAGAGAGCGGACTTCGGTCAAAAACACGCAAACGACTATTGCAAAATTTCCAGGTGTAAATTCAAATTGGCCAGGTGTTCTAAGAACGACTTTCCTCGACGGCGTCTGTTTTAATAATTTGCCCATTGTCTTGACTTATTCAAGACCAGATTGGTTAGGCAGAAAGCCTTGGGGTTGACAGGGAAGTATTTGGGAGAAATGTTCGGAGGCATTTGACAATCAACTGCTTTATACTAGCTGATTCACTGCCTGTGTCGACTCAACGAACGTCTCGCTGGGCTAACCTCAGCTAACCTTAAGTTGTTCACTTCAACGTTTGAAACCGCAAGTGATGCAAACGCAGTTAGATAAATTGTCAGCCTGAACTAGCCTTATTTTACTCTCTCTGCAAAGATCAGCAAGGCATACATCGAAGTTTTCCCTTGTACTTCTTTGGAAAAGGTTTATTATTATAGCTGACGAAGACAAAGTATCAGTATATTACATGTAAACTTTTATCAAATCCCGTTGGAAGTACAGTTAATATTGCTAACCTTCGCTCATCCTTCAACGTTAATTTAAATTGAAAGGTTTCTCAAATACATTCAGTTTAATACTTCTTCGAAGAGATAAACAAAGTCATGGTTTTATACGCCACTGATTGAATGCCAGCTTTAAAATTACATTGCGAAATGTCGTACGAGTTAAATATTTGCATGATATTAACTCATGGGGCACTTCTGACCAATGGGAATTTTGCGTACGCTCCGTACGCATAAATCGACTTTTTACTAATAAAAGTCGCAGGCCGTTCCTCGTGCAGCCTCTGCCTGACAACGGCCTGCGAGCAGGCTAATAGCTCAGGGGATGCAGTCCATATCATATAACCCTATGTCCATATCATATAACCCTTTAAGTGGCAATGCACCTTCATGTGACCTACTTTATTATTTTACTGTGTCTATACCTGTAAATGCCAAGGATTTTACTCATCAGGGAGAGAGTGCTGTCACTCATGGGTTAATTCACAAACGACTCCTTAGTCCTTAACAGATAAACAATTTTTGTGTTGTAAAATTTGTTATAAGCAAGTTAAAATAAAAATACACAAATCTGTATTTATCCTCAAATATGAATAAGGGGTTATTATAGCCCAAGACCCAAGTATATGAACACTTGTGCCACAGTGCCAGCACAAATTGGACTACATCAGCTTGAAATTCTGCTGGAATAAGGTGATACATTTTTAACTTTGGAATTAGAATAGAATAGAATAGAATATATTTGCTCACAAAAATATTTACAATGGAAATATAGTTAAAATACAATAATATAAAGGAGCAAGGGACCTTTTGAAATCCTGTTGGACTTTTGATATAAGGCCCCTATATTGTTTTGATTAAAATAAAGTAGATGAATCTAAATTGGTTCAATATATGTAATACATGTTTTAGCTAACAATATTTATATTAACAAGTAATTTAATTTTGCTTTTTTCTTAAAGGAAAAATACGATTTTTGAATTTTAATTTCTTCGATCATCAAGACAATTCCATATCGAAATTCCCTTGTTAAAAACAGTGTGAACACGATAGTTCGTCCTTTTGTAACTAACGTGTAATTTTGAAGAGTTTCGCGTATTATAATTATGCAATTCTTTATTTTGAATAAAATGACAATTGTAAAGGTTTGGCAAATTTTGATCATAATTCATGCAGCGATACATAAATAGACTGCAAAGATGATCATTAATTTTGTAGATATTCAAGATTTTAAGATTAAAAAATAAAGGTTCTGAATGATCTGTATAATATTTAAAACACATTAGCCGGACAATTTTCTTTTGTATCTTTAATAAATTCTGTAATCTTGTTGGATATGTATTACCCCAAACTAGATTTCCGTATGTAAGGTATGGATAGACCAATGCATAGTAAATCAATTTCAAAGTGTTTTTATTTGTATAATGTCTTAATTTAGCAATCATACCTGTAGATTTAGTTATGCTTTTTAAAACTGAGTTGATGTGATTAGTCCATGTCAACTTTTGATCAATAGTGACACCTAAGAACTTCACGGAAGGCACCTGTTTAATTATATCATTATCTATTTTTATTGGAATTCCTCAGGGATAAGCCAATTTCCGTGTGGAATTCTTTAGGGGTAATGGATATTTTGAATGAGATTTTCTCAGGGGTCAAATGTAAAAATTGAAATTCTTCCAAGGTCTCTCTTCCAGTGGCGTAGCCAAGGGAGGGCGACCGCCCCTCCCCCCAATCGCAAAAAAAATTATTCTCTGAAAAAGGCTAAATCCGTAGAGAAATTGGGGGGGGGGTTACACGTTACATCCTCGAAGCTGAAACTGATTAAGTACGTCTCGACCGAAGAAAACGACGATATACTGAAGGAACTTGATTTGCAAAATCTCGCTAAAGCAGTTGTAGATATGGTTCCAAGAAGAATAGATTTAGTTTAGATTTACATGTATGACTTATCATATGATTTACATGTATGCATTATCATTATCATAGGATATGATGAACTCTTGTGAGACGGCCCTGATTGTGAGTCTCCACTTCATTGAAAGGACGACTTTAGTTAAATTTGCTGCATATACATTATTACAAATCAAGCCCACAAATCGTTGAATATACTCTTACCGCTCGTTGCAAATCACACATTCACGCAAGCGCCTATTTAAAAAGCCCCAGCAACTTAACGCTCGAGAGAGCGTCTTGTTTACATGTCGTCTTTGTGTGTACAGTACTTTTGTCGCTCTGAGTAAGTCCAAATATAATAAACAGAACATTAGACGGTTGCAAAGAGATATGGATTTTTAATATGTTCTCGTGTCAAAAACAATATCGATATTGTTTTTGCCATTCAAACATAAAATCCATATCTCTTTGTAACCGTGTAATATCCTCTATAAATTAAAAAACATCATTCTTGTGACAACCATTTTTATTCAAATTTTAGGCAATGCTTTACATGCACCTGGACAAAGTGGAATTTTCTAATAGAACCTAGTTACTCTTCCTCGTTTTTTTATCTAAACAAAAATGTGCTGATACTTACCATCACTCAAAGGCCATACTCGATGCATTGCTTGGCATTCTGGATTTTTGCAGAGTTTGACCAATACCTGAACCACAAGAAACATATGCTGATGTGTCATGAGAAAGGCTTTACCATCTGAGCCTGGCTTCGTTTTAGGTAAGCTCAGTTGAGACCCGCACAGTTCACATGATTCTTGTGAAGGTATAAATGAAGATGGCCATGATTTATCTTCTATCCCTGCAGTACTCCAGGCATCAATTTTTCTGCACTTGCTTATAAATTCTTTCGGCACTGGGTATGGTAGGGAACACCGAGCCATTAAGTGCACAGTTCTTTGCCGACAAACTGAGCTAGTTCGAGGTTCAGCAATTTCTTCTGGGGATGTTGGAGTTGGGTCTACTGTTGGTTTAACATGTTCTCTTAGAACACACAGCAAAACATGTACATGTAGGCAGATCTTCTTTGACTTCAATTGTTTTGTGTTGCCACCACGACTTTTGCAGTCTTTGGAGGACCAGATGTAGTTGTCCTGACAAAAAATAGAGATGGACAAACAAACTGATACATTAGCTCCAAATTTACATACATGTGCATTTAATTTGATTTATGGTACCCTTTATATTAAGTACTTTAAGTGAGTTTACGTACGTCATTAGACTATAGGGTGGTCAGCGGCACTATTTGAAAATGTATGATTAATTAATAATTGTAATAGCTATTGTCACTCTAAATGGGCATACTATATATTCATATCTATTGATTATATAAATGAGGAATTTTTTGTACATGAGTTTACATTGAGATTACACAGCTGATATCAAAATTTAACTGACAAAACTAATTTCTGATGTAATCTAACTGATATAATCCCAAATGGAGTCATGGTAACAATGAGATTTCCATTCAAAGCTATGTACTTACAATACACTGTTACTGCAAGTCAACACCACTTTCATAATGTGAAAAAGACGCAACAAATGAAAAACCAACAACTATATAGCCTGAAAGCCAACTACACCACCATCTTGATCAAAAGGGTGCACACAAACTGCGAGGCAATGGCAAGCCCGCGAGGCATGCGACTGATGCGAGGAAGGCTGCGAGGTAATCCCGCGAGTACTGACGAGCCTTTTTTTCTACTGCCCTTGGGCCCTTGGTTTGAATGCATTTCCAAATTACCAAGAAATTCGTATATAAAACCTTATCGAGTTTGTATGAATGTAGTTTTTCAATTGACAGATGAACAATGCAAAATAGTTAATATTCCATAATTTTTAGTGAAGCTTGTCACATGTTGAGCTATTGTCTAGGTTAATGACGTTTTGACTGGAGTGCTGTAGTTATTTAAAACTATAATGTATAGGCAGAACTGGGCTTACTGTAGTTTACGAAACTGTAGTTTACGAAACGAAACGAAATCTGCAGTTTGCGAAATCTGTAGTTTGCGAAATCTGTAATTTGCGAAATATCTGTAGTTTAGGGTAAAATAAAAAATGTTCACATGTTCGGAGGGCGAGGCGTCAACAGTACAATTAAATTCTGTGAAAGTTAACCTAGTTAATTAAGAACCTACCTGACTACACGAAGTCATAATTGCGATAAAACGTTATCCCAATAAATTGCTTTACTTGTATTAGTTATATTTCAGTGGCAGTGTCAAATAAACTTCTTTATATAATTATATGTCTGAGACTGCAAAATGTAAAAGTTTAAGATTGAAAATACACCATTGCCAGCAAATTGATTGGAAATGTTGCCCTGACTATGGGATTTTCCCGGAAATTCTTCAGATGGTCAAGTGGATCGCAGCCGCGAGGTTTGACATAAAAATGTTGGTGATCGCATCGAAAACTTTCGAAAAGGTAAACATTTTTTTACTTTCTGCTATATGTTTTCGCAAACTGCAAATTTGAATAGCAATCTATCTAGAGATTTCGCAAACTGCAGATTTCGCAAACTGCAGATTTCGCAAACTGCAGATTTCGCAAACTGCAGATTTCGCAAATTACAGATTTCGCAAATTACAGTTTCGCAACGTACAGATTTCGTTTCGTTTCGTTTCGTGAACTACAGTAAGCCACAGAACTGTTATTAAAACTAGAATGTCGTTCACATTTGTTTGTTTGTTCAGCGTCAAGTTAAGTATGTTCAATATGTTAAATATCGTCAAATTTTGGAGTCAGTCATTGTGTCTGCCTCCCACTGGCACATCTGCCTCGCACTTTTTTTCATGCCTCGCACTTTTTTTCATGCCTCACACTTTTTTTCATACCTCGCACTATAGAAAAACTCAAAACAACATTTATTAAAACAAATCCTACCTTGTTGCATTGAACATGTGTATAGCATATAGGAGTTGATGTTGATGCTTTTCCATAAACCACAAAATTTTTGTCAGACACTTTCATGGCAACAGCTTGTGATGCCGACAATCTCTTCATTAGAGACAATATAGTTTCTTGAGTGCCAATGTCAGCTGGATAGGTTCTGATGGATTCATCACTTAAAAAATACTTTTCTAATGGCTCTTGCGGCTTCCTGACTATCTTCTCACTGTGTTTACAGCCAAACGGCCTTCCTGAAGAAGAACTTAAATGGATTGCTCGTTGTTGTTTGCATGTCTCATGGTAACAAAGGCAATTTGTTCCTTGTACCAAAACCAAACACCGATCATCCCTTGTGCTGCTGTTTACTGAATACAGAGAAGTATCACCTTCTATGTAAACAATGATACAGTCTGGAATGTTCAGTTTTGGCTTAGGCAAATATGAACCTCCTATTTCAAAGTGGCATCCCTCACATAACTTTGGTTTCCGTGCTGTCATGTACTTATGGCCACATTTGGGACAACTAGCAGTGCCACGATTTGTCCACCTCGGTAAGACAATTGATTCATCCTAAAAGTTTATGAAAATAATTAGTATTAATCATTCCTAATTTCCATTGTACTGTAGTTCAGACAAGGTGCTCCAAGTCCCCTCCAGTGAATTGTGGCATGTTCCTGTGAGTAATAATTGTGGTACGTTCCTGTAAGCATTCGGATTGATTAGTGATTAATTAAATGTACCCGAGGCTTGAGGGGCATTTAATCACTAATCAACCATAATGCCATGCTATTAATTTGTAATATTATGGCTAGGTAAGGGACATACTGTAAATCAAACCAATTAGATAAGGTATGATTAGTTACTAACAGTATAGTAATTACTAATACTATTAGTAACCAATCATTATGTACCTAATGTTTTATGCAGTTGCAATTGCTTGGTCCAGTGGCATAGACAAGGAGGGGCAAGAGCCCCCAATGACCTTAAGGGCTGCCCTTGTAAAAAGCTACAGGTTCCCAGACCTCTTTTTTCTTTTATAACTTTATTGGGAATACTAACAATAACGATAAATAGGTGTTTCCCAAAAGGAAAGGTGCAATCGGGTCAGAAAAAGCCCATGCGAGGCACCTCCCTTACAAACTTTACACAAAAAATTACATTACACTATAAATTATAGTTGAGGTAAAGCTCGATTTGCGCATACCCACAGGATCTCGAAATACGTAAAATGCATGAAGATTTTGGAAAATTTGTACGGAAAATAAAACGAACTTGGTTTTGAAAACATGTGACGTAGGCATGTACACGAAACGAACTTTACTTCAATCAAAGAACTATACATTATTTTAGTTTCTGTGACATGGACAGTCTCGAACAAGAGACCAGGTACATGGCATGTCTACGTCAAAAACTGAATTACGTAAAAACGAATAAGTCCGACGAAGAAAGTTCTTAAAAGTAAATAATGTCACGAAGCTATTAGCTGATGCAGTTCTGCACACTACATTCCATAAATGAACTGTTCGATTAAAGTAAGAGTTTTTAAACGTAGTTGTTCTACATAACGGCACTTGAAGTAATAGATTAGGATTTAAGGTTAGTCGAGAACGATCATGACTAACAAAACTAACATAATTGCCTATGTCTAAGTCGAGATAAGACCTCAAGAAATAAGTGATAATTACAGTATAACCTTAATTAGTTACATTCAAAGACAGAATTCTGCATAAGTAAAGATGAAATTCCACACAAGCAAAGAGTTAGTAAATTAGAATTAATTATATACGAGTTAGTATAATTAATTATATATTAAATAGAGAATAATACATGGGATACCTGTGAGCAAAGTCCTCTCGTATTTTTTCTCGGCAAGGCACAGAGAAAAGCAGAACTTGTGAATTAATTCATTTGAGCATGCGCTATTAGGTTGCTAAGCAACTGCCTATTTCCAGAAGAAGATATAATAAGTACTGTAGTTTCCAGTTCGGATCTAAACCGGTTATAAAACCGGTATCAACCTGAAATGACGCATAATTATCCAAGTTTTTGGATTGTACCGGGTGGCCCAAAAAAAAGTACTCCTGTTTGATTCGTAATAACATCTAAACAAGTATAGCTTTTAAAGAGAAATAACTTGCATCAAATAGAGGAAGGACTAACTTAG